TTTTGGAGGCTCATCTCCAAGCAAGAGGAAAGGGCAGTGTTAAAATCTACATCTTAGATAGGATAGCAAGATCTCCAGGGCTTAACCTCTGCTTTGCATATAGCTTCTGAAAAAAAAGCAAGTTTGTTGTTGTTAACCACCTGAGTCAGCCCTGATTCATGGTAACCCTGTGGGTGAGACATCTCCAAGACCCCTTATCTTCTACTTTGCTTAGGTCCTATAATTTCAGACTCATGACCCCCACCCCAAATGAGTCTAGCCCTCTAGCAATGGTCTTCCTATCTTCTTACTGCCTTCTACCTTCCATAGCATTATTATCTTTTCCAGTGAGTCATGCCTTTTCATGATGTGGTCAAAGTATGACAGCCTCAGTTTCAGCACCCTGGCTTCCAGGGAAAATTCAGGCTTGATCTGTTCAAGGGCCCATTTGTTTGTCTTTTTGGCTGTCCACAATATCTTCAGCACTTTTCTCCAGCATCACAACTCAAATGAGTTTCTTTTTGTCTGCTTTCTTCACTGTCCAGCTCTCACATCTATACACGGTGATGGAGAATATAATGGCATAGATGATTCTAACTTTAGTGTTTGGTTGTTTATCTTTATACTTTAGGATCTTATCTAGTTCTTTCATAATTGCCCTTCCCATTCCTAGTCTTCTTATTTCTTGACTGCAGTCTCCATTCTGTTCAATGTTTGATCCAAGGGATGGTAAATCTTTAACTATTTTGATTTCCTCATTATCTAGGTTGAATTTATGTAGATTTTCCTTGGTGATTTTTTCCCCTTTTATGTTCAGCATTGAGCCTGCCTTTGCAATTTCTTCCTTGACTTTCCTTAGTAATTGTTCCAAGTCTATGATGTTTTCTGCTAGTGGTATGGTGTCATCCATATATCTTAACACTGTTGATATTTATTCCTCCTATCTTTGCTCTTCCTTCTTCTGAGTCTAAACCTGCTCTTCATATGATGTTTTCTGCATAAAGTTGAACAGTTAGGGTGATAAAATGCAGCCTTGACTGACCCTTTTACCTATTTGAAACCATTGTTTTTTTCCATATTCTGTTCCAACAATAGCCTCTTGTCCTAAGTACAGATTTCTCATCAGGACTATCAGATTTGTTGCCACTCCCACGTCTTTAAGAGCATTCCATAGCTTTTCGTGATAGATCTAATCAAAGGCTTTGCTATAGTCTATAAAGCACATGATTACTTTTTTTCTGGAATTCCTTGATGTATTAATCATTGTATGTTTGCAAAAGCAAGTAGGCTAGATTAAACGTCCTTTGCATCATGTTCCTATCTAGGTAAGAAAGAAAACCCCCACCTTGATCCAGAAGCAGCCCCTTTAGCTCCGACTTCTGCCTTAATTTCCAAACAGAAAAATAAGTTCTTTCACTGTTTGAATGACAAGCTGTGAGCTACTAGAGAGGTACAGGGGGTGTGGACTGCATTGGGTGACACCACTGGTCTTCAAACATCTGCCCTTGGGCAGAAACAGGCAATTTGTTGATACATAATGCATAACACATAATGACATTAGCAAGGGCTCTCCCCAAGTCTCAGTTTTTGGCCCCCAAACCTCAGGGGCTAGGATGACTCAGAACTGGGAATCCTAAACTGCTAGGAGGAGCTAAGGAGTGGCTCTTCCATTTTTCCACTCCATCTCTCGTCAACCAGGCTGAAATGCAGCCAAGCCATTGCCTGGGATAGGCATCCTGCTCCTTACTTCTGCCCTATCATAGAGGGCTTTTTGGGAATATTTTTTTCTGAGGAGGTTTGCTGTTGCCTTTAAGGGTGATACAGTATGACTTACTCAGAATCACTCAGCAGACTTCCATGGCTCAACAAGAATTCAAACCCCAGTCTCCAACAGTTGTAGTCCAGCACTGAAATCACTACTCCACACTGGCTTTCCTTTGTGCATGTGTGTGCCTTTGTCACCTGTTGACTTATGCTTAGCCCATTAATTTTGTATGATTTTCTTAGGCATCAAATACTCAGAGGTGGTTTGCCATTCCTTCCTCTGAAATACAGCCTTATGGTGGTATTCATTGGCACTCTCCCCTTCATGACTAACCAGGGCTGACCTTGCTTAACTTCCAAGATTGGACATGATCTGGTGCCTTTAGGATATTTAGGGCCCTGTACTTGAAGATACATCCCCCTGAATTCAGTAAGAGAGGGTGTGTGTGCCTTCAAGTTGCCTGCTGACTTATGCTGGCCTATGCATTTCATTGGCTTTTCTTAGGCAAGGAATACTCAGAGATAGTTTTACCAGTTCCTTCCTCTGAAATACAGCATAAAGCACCTGGTATTCATTGGCAGTCTCCCATCCAAGTACTACTTAGGGCTGACCCTGTTGGCTTCCATGATCAGATAGGATCTGGTGTCTTTAGGATATTTAGGCCCCACATTCAGTAGAACATACTCAGAATTAAGTATACATAGAATTGTACCCTTTGGAAAACTAAATTTTCCAATTGCAAACACTGGAAGGCCTTAATGTGATTCTGACGTTGTTCTGCTGTTTTAGCCAATGGATTTAAAACATTTTGAAATCCCTGGCACTCACTCATTCAACAACTCCTGCATTCCAGACTAATATTCTAGTTTAAGCCCTCTGAAGAAAAGATTCCTAGCATCTGTCCCAATATTCTGTAATAAGCAGAATAAATATTCAAATGCACTCATCCCTCCACATTTGTAGCTTTGATGTTTGTGGATTTGATTATTCATGGATTTATTAATATGTTCTCTCTACCTGAAAGAACACCTCTCTAGGAATCTCTAGGTCCTCCAGCGCAATTTTATGGTCAATTTTAACCAAAAGTCACACTGAAGGATCTGGAGATTCCTAGAGAGAACACTCCTCTAGGGATTTGTAGCTCCTCTAGCGCAATTCCATGGTCAATGACTGGCAGATGTTGGCCACAGAGTTGCACTGGAGGACCTAGAGATTCCTCGAGAGGTGGTCTCTCAGGTAAAAACATAGTGTTTTTGTTATTTATGGGTTTTTCCACATTCACAGGGGTCCTGTGTCCCTAACCCCAGAGAATGTGGAGGGACGAGTGTGTATAAAAGTTCTTTAAAACATTTTGAACACTCCCCTCATCTACAGACCTCTAACAAACTAGTTTTAAATCTACAGGCCTTACTGGGATGGCCTAGAGCCATTTGGCATTTGATATGTTAAGTTTAAAAACATGCCTGGCTTGCAAAGTAAATAACAGATTGGCATTTGCTTCCTTTTGTCAGGCAGACACTTTTAAACAAAACCTGTACGAATGTACTATTTCCTGTATAATTTTATAATTTGATAACTTCTGGAATAAATTTCCTAAATACTCATTGCCTTCAAAGACAATGTGCTTCATTCAAATATTTGCCTTAGGCAGGCCAGGACAGCTGGTGGAACAAAACTGCAGATATGTCACTAATTGTTTTGAAATCTTTTTAACTTATCAAAACAAGGGAGGATCATTTTCCTGAGCAAGATTCCAGATTACCTTCAAATTCCACTTAAGGCAAAATGCAGTGTCAACTGAGAGATATGTAAGCTCTCCTCGCCCTCTCCAAGCAGTGTTGCTATCTTCTTTTAACTTCTCTCAGAATCACAAAATATGTTACACTAGGGATGAAACTGCCTAGGTGAATAAAAGGGTGCTGAAAAGACCATAAAGATTGTGCCATTCAAATTTTTCTGAAAAAAGCTGCTCTATACTTGGGGCACAAATGTCAGAAAGACCTTCTCTTTGTAGTTAAGTAACTTGCTTGATTTCACTGAGGCACTGCGAGCAGGAGCTCTAAAGAGGGCCTTAAGGCTTACATGGAAGCCAGTCCTTCAAATAAACAAAAACCAAGTACCAAGGGCCATCATCATCTTAATAATAATAATGATGATGATGATGATGATGATGATAATAATAATAATAATAATAATAATAATAATAATAATAATAAAAGTTTATTTATACCCCACCCTTCTGCCAAGCAATCGGGGTGGCTTACAGCATTAAAATCCAACAAATATTACAACATTACATAAAACCTAAGAATCCCCGAACCTACCCACTCCTTAAAAAGTATTAAACACATTATATATTAAAACATATTAAACATATTAAAACAACTCAAACAGCTCAGACAGCCTATAATCAAACAAACAGCAGCGGTGATCCTAACCAAGGTGGGGAGGAAATGGGGCACTCTTCATCATCATCTCCTCCATTCATATTCCACCTTCCTCCCAATAATCGCTTCTCAAGGTGGCTAACAATATATTTAAAATCAGTAAAGATTTAAAACTATACAAAGACTTGGATAAAAGCAGTTATTTGAAAAGCAATTAGACCATTTATAAAGTTAAAACACCAAACACTAAAAGCATTAAAATTCATTAAAAGATAATATAAACCAGAACATAGCACAGCAGATTGTTAAAAGCCCGTCCCATTTAATTTTTAAAGACCTGGTGGCGCAAGAATGTTTTCAGTTGTCCATGGAAGGAGATCAAGGAGGGATGCTTAAATATAACTTCTAGTTTGGCCCTCTTGACATCTACTTAGCTTTTTCTGCTTGGTTACCATTCTATTAGTCTCCAACTTTTCTTTCAACAGGAGGATATCTTCCAGTTTAGCAAGTGTCCCTATCTGTGAGCATCCTCCCATCCTCAATTAGCACCATTGCACCAACAACTTCAAAGGATTTGCAAGAAATTTGACAGAGAGATGCAAAAGCAGAAATAGCTATTCCTTGGCAAACATTTTTCTGATACAAAGCAGCAAGGAGGTGGGAACCCATTTATCTCACTATCTGCTCATTTTATTGCTTACAGCCATTGTAAACTAGAGAGCTGCATCTCTTGTCTCCTCCACCCACTGTAAAATGAGATCTTCCTTTACTCATTTTTTGACAATACAAGATATTACCAAATGGATTTTGCTCAGAAGTAATGCATCCAGGCACAACAATTAAGTGTTTCTAAGATAGTTCCTTGGACAGCCAGTGTGGTGTAGTGGTTTGAGCACTGGAATATGACTCCTACGACCAGGGTTCAAATCCCTGCTCAGCCCAGAAACTCATTGCCTGACTTTGGACAACTCACACTCTCTCAGCCACAGAAGAAGGCAAAAGTAAACACCCTTTGAACAAATCTTTCCAAGAAAACCATGTTATAGGTTTGCGTTAGGGTTGTCATAAGTTGGAAACAGCTTGATGACACATAACAGATAGTTCCTTATGCATATTTCTACAGGTGATTTCTGAACACAAAGAACAATATACAGTTGGCCCCCTGTAGCCACAGATTCTTTATCCACAGATTCAAGCATCCTTGGCTTGAAAATACTAAAAAAAAATAATAATAATTCCAAAGAGTAAACCTTGATTTCCCCATTTTATATAAGGGATGCCATTTCATTACGCCACTGTATTTAATGGGACCTGAGTATCTACGGATTTTGGTATCCACAGGGGATTATGTAACCAAACCCCAGCAGATATGAAGGGCCCACTATAAGGACACCACTGAAACAAGATTTGGAGGAATAACATTTTAAAGGCCTTTAAAATTAAGACCTGAATTTTCTTTCTATAGTCCTTCTTGTGTTAATATATATGAAAAATCTAAAACATCCTAGAAGTAGGAGTTCCAGACAAAAAGACTGAGTCTCAGTACTTGTATCTCTTTGAATTGATTTTATCTATGAACAGATACGTAGTTTTCCTTCATGAGGCAAAGGAAAAGCAAACTAAAAACAAAGAGTTTATAGAATCTGCCTAATTCAGTGAATTAGACACTAAATAGAAATTGTGAAATTTCCCTGTGATCTTTCAGCCTGCAAAGAGTAATATGGCACTGAGGTGACAAACACCATCAAAAGCTTCTTTTACTTTGTGTGCTTCAGTGGGCTAGACAGACAAATAAATATGTTAATAGTAGCCCCCATATAGGTCAATATAAACTGGGTGGGAATTCTGTGGCACTCTAGCCATCATGAGACTACAATTGCCAGTGTTCCTCGCCCCTGGCTATCCTGCTAAGACTTGCAGTCCCACAAAATCTGGATGGCCACATGATTCCCACACCTCTTTAGACCAATGGCTAAAGCAACAACACAAGAGACTCTTTGTTTTTGTCAGGAAACATGCTATTTCTGTTTATCCTGTAACAAGCTACAATCTTCAAACTATGACATCAACCGGATAGCAATTCTGGAGTTAAGTCACTGGAGCTTTAGTTCCTTGCTGAACATGTCTGGAAAAGAGCTTTTACAATTATTGCAGGAACTGCAATAGTTTCTGACCTCATCATCCCCAGAGCTTAATAGGTCAGTGTCAATCCCCTGTGCTCCCAACAACTTGGCAAAGAATCTAGTTGCTGACTGATGTTCTCATTTAACAATTCCCCTCACCTTTTAAAAAGAAATGTATATAATCTTCTTGTATTGTTTTAATAAGTTTTGTCTTTTTGAAAAGTATCTTTGTACAGAGTATGGCAAAGATCCAAAGAACTGAACAAATAATTCTGTGTACTCAAGAGGGTCTCTTTCAATGAGAAGTTTCTCCCCCCCCCCCCCACGTTTGATAGTTATTTGGTTCTTCTCTTTTCCAAGTGAAATGGTAATATGACTTAAGAAACTTCTTCCTTTAAAGTGAACTTGCTAAAGATCTAAACCGGAAATTTGCATTTAGAGTAATTCTCCAGTTGGTGCCAATGGTGTGATTTCCATGCAATGTCTACATAGCAGTTTGGGAGGAGTCCTTCTCAAAAACTATGCAACCTCACTGGACTCAGACTTTAGCTTTTTGATACTATTGAATTGTTCTTTGAGGCTCAGTTCGAGTGAACATAGGGACAGATTACATATTGATTCAGGATTTGTCACATGAGAATATCCTTACAAAGCACTTTCACTCTGGCAGAGCTTGGAATATCAATCTGAAAAAGCAAATTGTTGCTGCTCTACTTCCATGTTACTCCAGAAAGTTCCTGTTATAGTTACATTTTAAAGGAATCCTTTATTTTCTGATTTCTCAGCAGAAACTTAAAATAGTCATAGCCAGACTACAATGGTTTTACTTGTGCTGCAACTCTTTGATACCTCTGTTCTCTGACAGAGAAGGCTAAATATTTCAAAAAAACAAACAAACTACAAATCCCAGAATCCAATAGCACTGGGCCATGGCAGTTAAAGTGGTGTCAAACTGCATTAGTTGTACAGTGTAGATGCAGCCTTAGCTGATAAAATTATTTTTTAGATAAAATTATTTTAAGGCCAGTACAGTCTGCCACTAAAAGCTGCCTTCGGGGTAGCTGTGGGCAGCTTGGGGGCATGGCATGCACATGCCACATGCCCCCATGATGCCCTGAAGGCACCCAGGGAGGCCACACATCATCCGACTTCTGGCGTTTTGGGCGCATGGTAATTACATGCCATAAGCCCCCAACATGCTACGAAGCTGCTGCAGGGCCGTGGAAGAGCTGCTAAAGTCAGCTTTTCTGTGGCCAAAAAAAGAGTGGTTGAAAACCGCTCCTTTTTTGGCTGATCCATGGTGGATTGGGGCCATGGTGTGTGGCTGCCATGGCCCCAAGCTGTCTTTGGGTGGGCCGGTTTCACATCACCCAATCCAGGCTGTCTGTTTTGGCCCTTAGTTAATAAAGCAGTTTTTTTAAAAAAATAATAATAATTCTTTTGGACAGGTAGCAACAGTTCTTTCTGCTGACTTGAGAAAATGGGTGCAAAGAAACTGGGCTCTCTGGTGGTGCAATGTGTAGGTAAAACTGGAATCTGCTGCCATAAGATATACCTTAAGAAAGGGATGAGATACTTTCATCTATTGGTGGCTGCTCATCAGTACTGGGCCTTCACCATTGTGGAATGCTGAGGTCTGACTAGTGCCAATGGTGGCTTTATTTAGGTGCCAAGTTTTTTTTATTAAAAAAGGTGTATTCACTAAAGCCTCTGGAGCTTGAAAATATTCAAAAATAAGTAAATTCTGAAAAGCAAAACATGATTTTGCCATTTTATATAGGGGACACTATTTTACTAACCCTTATATTTAATCGAATTTGAACTTCCACAGATTTTGGTATCCACAGGGACTCATGGAACCAAACCCCAGCAGATACCAAGGGACCACTGTAATGTGAATAAACAATGTGCTGGTTTATATAACCTGCTTGCTCTTGTTTCACTTCCTCCTTTGTATGTACAGGTAAATGAACCAGGAAGAAACAGGTTCATGTCATGCTGAAGCCAGATGTAAGGTGCATGAAAACAAGCCAGGATTCACAAGCCGACAACAAACTTCAGTTTAAAACTCGCTTGCTTTTTGGGAACATATAGCCATAATCCTTGGTGTAGACTTTACACACAGCTATGCCTTCTTAATTTTTTTAGTACTGTATGGATGCAAAGGGTGGAGCTAATATGCTATATATCCACTAGCACTCCATTTATTCTTAACATGATTAGGCCAGAATAGGTGGCTTAAAGTGAAAGATAAAGCCAATGTACTTACTCCAGCACTCTTGTACTTACTCAGGCCTGTTGCATTCTCGAACAGCATTTTTAATGCCCCCACCACATGTTCGTGAGCAAACTCCAAAGGGACTCCATGCACCCCATGTCCCATCTATCACAGGTACTTCTCGCTCTCTGGGAACACAGTGGCCAAACTTGCAGTGCTAAACTCCAAAAATAAGAAAGATAGGTAGGCTTTTACAACATGAGTTAATTGCTGTTATCTGGATTCTAGCATTTGAAATTGCATTTGAGATCAATGTCAAGGGGGTTGTTAGCTTTTAAAACTTGACAGGCAAATTCTCTCCTAAAATTTGTACTCATTAAATTTACATTCATCACTGTTTTTTCCCACCTGGGGATAGGGTGAGTGGTACATCTGCCCAAGCTCATAAGCCAATTGCAGCCCCCTAGCCTTAGGGTCACAGTAACATTATGGTCACTTGAAGGCAAACAACATACACAGTCTCCCACGGTTGCTCACCCCAACTTATTGTAAAGGCAGGGAACTGTTGCTCTCTAGACGTTGTTAGACTGTAGCTTTGATTGGTCCGACCCAGTACAGAAAATAGTGAAAGATTTGGAAGTTGCAGTGCAACAACACTGGGGAGTGGTGGTGGTCGTTTGTCCATCCCTGACCTACAGCACTGCATATGTCTGAAATGAACCAGTGGGTATCCATTATACACCTGAAATGGACTAGTAGCTATATATTATATGTTAATATGTTTCTGCCAAGTCTAGTTCTATAGCAGGCACAAATGGCTCTGATTATCCAGATGATGAAGAACAGTAAATCTCCTGAAGCCCACAGATTGACGGCTTTCCAAGCCATTGAGTTGTGCACTTTTACTGATCCAAAGCAGGAAGCCTAAATTGTGATAGCTGCTAAGGAAAGCAGCCTTTCTGATGTTTTGATTACAGTTTAAATGTCAAAATGGGTCATTACCAAAGACACATTTCCAGACCAGATATGTTGAAAGAATACTTCCAAAAATGTGGACAGCTAAAATAATGGATGTAAATAATGCTGAGGTGTGGAAAGATATAAAAACAAGCATTTTCTGCTCAGGATGGCTTCATATCTCTGACCCATACATTTAAATTTACTTGGCACAATCTGTTGCCTTCTGGGAGGAAAAACTGTATGGTTTATGTGCAACCACATCACTCCCAGTCAAGGGAAAGTTCTGAGATTTTTTAAGAATGCCAGGCTCAGTCCTCACGCTAACCTTCTATACTGGCATATAAATTCTACAGCTGTCATAAATAAAGACACACATGGCACCAATAAGACAATGCTATCCCAAAGGAGGAACATCTTGTTCAACAGCTGCAATGTACAGAGAAAAAAATATATGAATAGCAATCATGCCTACCATATAACAGACCACTTGGCTTTTAAGCACACAGAACTTATTCAACACAACATGTTTTATACAGTTTAGGGCTGACAATGGAAGGCAGAAGACGCAACTGAGAAATTGAGTACTTCAGTGACATCTGTGATCTTATTACAACTGAGCACTCCATCTTGGTTGTGTAAA